GTGGATATGTTCGAAACGACCGTTAGGAACTTCTATTTTACTTGGCGTAAATTTGTTATGACGGTGAATCTTACTTCGCTGACATGACACACATGTGCGAGACCACTCGGCTATGTCGCGGTTCATTAAAGGCCAAACAAAGCTTTTGGCCACAAGCCTTTTTGTAGCGCGCCCGCTCGGGTGCGACAAATTGTGAACATTATCAAAAATTTTTCTACGTAGTGTTACTGGTACGTAGGGTCTGACGCTATTTCGTATCACGTCTCCGTACAAGTATTCATCTGAATTGTCCAAAAATATCTTTTGGAAATTCCACTTGCCGGAGTTTTCGGATAATATTTTTTGCAATTCCCCGTCATTTGCTTGCGCTTGTGTTACGTTGCGCGTTGCGAGAGCGCGCAACGTAAAAGAAAAAGAGTATATATGGATGTAAATGAAATTATTCTTATTTTTGGGCGATGACAAAGGTATCGCTGCCACCAGTTCTGACCGCGTATGACGCGGAAGCGTCCTCTACGGTCAGAACGAAATTAAAAGACGGAAAATTTAGATAGTATTTATTTCCGTTGGGTTCGTCAGCGCTCTGGGTCCCATACGGGTCCCTCCTTGAAACCTTGTATTGGTATGCGTGGGTTTAAAATGTAATATGACAAAGGGGATGATACAAAATGGAACTTGAAAGAAATGTGAATGCAATTTAGTGTGCAAAAAGAAAGTAATTTAATTCAAAAATAACTATTGAAGCTAACAGAACTGAATTTTGCAATGACTATTGTTTGAATACTAAAATGATTCTATTTGATTTCTGTTAATCACTGTTAAGTAAATTCAATTGATAACAATACTGTTTGAACAAGGGTAAAGATGCTTAACCTATTGTACGTTAATAATATAAATGAAAATTGGAAAAATGTCTAACCTTTGGTTTACAATGAGAGCTTCTATTGTAATTATTACACGTATTTGAAATGTGAGAAATATATGGTTAACGTAGGACGACTGCCTCGACCGGATATAATGAAAAACCAAACTTTAGGCGGTTTCTATCCGCAAGGGAACGACCTGAATGAAGAGACTCTTATAACCCCCGGAAGGGCTTTACAGGTCGTCCCTGATAAAACACCTCGCAGTCGAAACAATCGTCACTCACATATATTCGCGATGATTGAAAATTCGGAATATTAAAATGGCGAAAAATAATATAATCGGTACCTGACTGTAGAAACGGGACGATCTAAAATGAAGAGACTCTTATAACCCGTAGGCTTAATAGATCGCCCGTTTTGCCGTGTCTAAATTGAATGTTAATGCCGTGCTCGACGAATTAGTACAGAACAGGCTTACCGTGAGAATGTAGAGTATTATATACGATAAAATCGGTTGAGAATCGCTGGTTAATCGGTTGAAAATCGCTGGTTGATCTGGAACACCAAGAAAGGTTGAGAGATCTGTGGCGGCACTACACTTGTCGCGCGCCCGTTTGTCGTTTATTGCAAAATTAATTAGACGAACACAAGACGATTACGCTCTTCGGAATAATATAATAATAACGCGAGTAAATTTAATACGAGAATTACGCGAACAACGGATTAAAAGAAAGAGAAAAGATAGAGGTTTAATAGTGTGAAATGGCTTTACGTGCGCGTCTCTTGAGTTCTTGCCGCGTATCCGGAATTTCACTCTCACGACACTCTGCCTAATTCGTAGGTCTTGCCGCGCAGGTAAATTACAACGAAGTACGAACGACAACTCTATCTCTAGACGCACGGGCTCCCGTCCCGACTTACTCGATTGTTCGACGAAGAGTGATCAGAATCGATCGCGATCCTAGCCGGAAGGGCCCGTCGCGAGGACGATGTCCTGCGTGGGGACATTTCGGCAAATCATAGCGCGTGACGACAGCGTCGCGTGCGTCGCTATTGGTTAAGCGCGCGTGCCAGCTAAATTCCTCTAGATCATGTTTTCTCTCTTTCTTGGTGTTCCCTCTCTGTCTAACGGCTTTTCGGTGTTTCTACGCCGTAGAATTTCTGGATTGTTCCATGTTTCGATAATTTGGATATTAGATAGTAATTGAAGCGATTATCAACTAGTAAATTGGATCAGAATTATTGAACAATAAATTTGCAAGTAATTGAATCATTCGTAGTGCCATTGCGCACGGATAATGAAACCGATGATCGCGTGGTTTCTTAATTAACAATCGGCTTGTTCACAATCATTTGTTCGCAGAGAAATCGATCAACAATATGAATTGCGCCGGTACGCTCGATATAAGGCATTCGGTGTTCGATTGCTATTTTTTTAATAACGACAGGTTTCCATTATTAATCGAATATTCGTTACTACATTTGCGACGTAGTTGCTTCGAGAACGTTCTCGCCATTCGAAAATTACCGTTAGGTTTTCGGTTTCAGGCAAATTCTCGGAATTCGATACAAAGACTTTTATTGCCCCGCACGACCCTTTGCCTCTAAACAGTCCTCGAACGCTTGCTAACGTTTGCCTGCAAGGGTTCTCATTCCTCGCTCTCGCATTCATACAAATATTCAACGAGCTAGATTGCTTTGCATTCTTATTCCAGCAATCAATTCATACACGCGATCGGGTTAGGGACCGACTGGCGCCCACGCGTGAAAAAGAGGAGAGTATCGATGTTAATCTCGGTAATAACGTAATCTTTGCGTTTTTGCGCAGTTAGCCCGAGGAGACTCCTATAATGCGAAGCACTGGCTAACCGCGCCGCGAACGGTGTTTATGATACTTCTCCTCGGTCGAAGCCGAGTTTTTCTATCACACGTTTCTGTTACTACGCAGTTGAGCACGACGATAGTTTCAAGGAGGGGTTTCAACTAAGAAGAGAATTGAGAAGTATGAGAAGAATGAAAGAATAGGAAAGACAAAAGTAGAATAATTATAAGCTCAAACTTTTCCCTGCGCATTTCCCACATGAAGAAGTCTCTTACAACCCGAAGGCTTGATGGGAAAGCACAGAGTCAAGGAGAAATTAAAGAAAGGTGCAGTAGTAATTTGCCCTCCCCACGCCCCTTACATGAGGAGACTCCTATAACCCGAAGGCTTGATAAGGGAACGTGAGGCGGACAAATTTGCAAAATTTTCCGGACGTAACACTTGCATCAATTCTTTTGTTGAAATTATCACGGGTAAATCTATTGTGCTCACTCTTGAAAACGCGTCGGCTACAATATTTTCTTTGCCTTCTACATATATAATTTGTGTCGTGAACTGGCTTATAAAATCCAACTGTCTAAGCTGCCGTGGACTAGCCTTATCAGCCCTTTGCTGAAACGCGTATACTAAAGGCTTGTGGTCAGTTTGAATGAAAAGTTGTCTACCTTCGACAAAATGCCTAAAAAATTTAAGACTTTTATAAATGGCCAAAAGTTCCCTGTCGTAAACACTATATCTAGTTTGAGCTTTTTCCAATTTTTTTGAGAAAAAACCGAGTGGTTCCCACTCACCGTCGTTTTGCTGTTCCAGTACTGCCCCTATCTCTACGTCTGAAGCATCCGTCTGCAAAGCCAACGCAGCGTTCTCTCTTGGATGGTGCAGCAAAGAAGCGGCGGCTATTCGTTCTTTAGCTTCATTAAACGCCTTTTCAGACTCACCGTCCCAACTTACAGGTCTCTTATCTTTTTTCCTAGCTCCTTTCAAATGTTTATTCAACGGGCCCAGCCATTCTGCTGCGCCGGGAAGAAACCTACGATAAAAACCAACTACGCCAATAAATCTACGGAGATCGGCTAACGTCTCCGGCTTTGGAAAGTCTTTGATCGCTTTGATTCGCTCGTCCAGCGGTGCGATACCCTTATCACTAACCTTACATCCTAAATATTCTACGCTAGTTTCCGCAAATTTACACTTAGCTATGTTTATAACCAGTCCGTTATTCCTTAATTGTTCAAATAATGCACGCAAATGTCTTTCGTGAGTTTCAATATCGGGTGATGCTATAATTATGTCATCTATGTAACACTGACAAAAATCTAACCCGCGCAGTATGTTATCCATTAATCTTTGGAAAGTTTGAGCAGCATTGCACAATCCAAACGGCATGACCAAAAATTCGAACAGGCCAAACGGCGTAATTACCGCGGTCTTCTCTACGTCTTCGGGTGCAATCGGAACTTGATAATAAGCTCGGGATAAATCTATTTTGGAAAAAATTTTACACCCGGGAAATCGATGCGCCACATCCTGGATGTGCGGCAGCGGATATTTGTTTGGCACGGTCACGCCGTTTAGACGGCGGTAATCTCCGCACGGTCTCCACTCACCCGTTTTTTTGGGGACCATGTGGAGTGGGCTTGCCCACTGGCTCTCCGATGGTCTGCAGATATTTTCTTTGAGCATTTGCTCAAACTCTGCTCGAGCCACCTTCAGCTTCCCAGGAGGCAGGCGTCTCGCACGCTCTGCAAACGGGGGCCCCTCGGTTACAATATGATGGCATACTTTGTGCTTAACTTTTCTCCTGACGGCCGGCTTCGTAATATCTATGTATTCCCTTAATAACGATTCGAACCTGTTATTTCTGTTTATAGTAGATATGGAGGGAACATTGTCTTTGCAAATTGATACGCTCCTGCGGACCTGTGTGTTGCCATCCAACAATTTTCTATTTCGGAGATCTATTAACAAATTAAAAAAATGTAGAAAATCGGCGCCTATTATAGGTCTCTTTATGTCCGCTATAATGAACCGCCAGGAGAACTCGCGACGAAGCCCTAAATTCAATGACATAAGCTTTTCGCCGTACGTGTTTATGGCTGCCCCGTTTGCCGCGTATAATTTGAAAACGCCTACCTGCTGGTTCTTACCCCCAAAGGCTCGTGGGATGACGGAAACGACTGCACCGGTGTCGATCAGGAACTCTATTCTGCTCCGTGTGTCCCTGATGCTGAGGCGGTATTTCCGGGAGTCATCTCCAATCGCCTCGACTTGGGATGCCTTCCCTAGTTTTTCTCTTGCCGGCGTTTGTCGGGTCATACCCAATTGCACGGCTTCCTGCATTTCCATGACTCCTCCGCGAACTTGTGGTGATAATAACAGAGTCCATTCCTCTCTGCACTGTTGTCGCGGCTGTTGCTTCTCTTTCGCCTGTAGAAACGATGTCGGTTGCTACTGCGGTCCCTTCGGGTGAGTCGGGCTTCTATACGCAACAGCCTCTTGGTAATGGCCGCCAGGTCGCCATCTTGCCATGCGGGTCCTGCGTCCCGCGCGTCCGCCATTGCATCCCTTTTAGCGTGGGTACGCTCTGTAATGGCCGCCATCTCTACCGTTGAACGCTCCATTGTTTTGTCCGCCACTTTGGTTAGACGTTCCAGGCCTGCGTCGTCTATGATTGTTAGTACTTCTTGCACTCTAGTTGGCAACCGTTGCATCCACAACGTGCGTAGAGCATCCTCTCCTACGCTTGCCCCTGCTAGCTGTTTCATTTCCCTCAGGAGCTCTGAAGGCTTCCTATCGCCCAGCTTCTAGGCCGGACAGCAAACGGCGGAGATTTGCCTCGTCCGATTTGGACAACCGTTCTATTAACGCCTGTTTAATGTCGTTGTACGTACTTTTCTCCGGCGGAGCTTCTATTACGTCCAGTACGATTTTCATCGTGTCCTGGTCGAGATTTCGGACGACCGCGGAACTTTTGACGGCGTCGGCGCGCACATTATATGCTGTAAATTCTCTTTCCAGCATAATGAACCATAAGCGAGGTTCCTGCTTCCAAAACGTGGGTAGCTTCACGTTGCGAAACTCGCTCGCTTGGATCTCTTGCCCCTTGGCGTCTGTCGCGGCACTTGACGCGGATTCTTTTTCGCTCATTTTTCCTTTTACTTTTTAATTCGCACAGGTTTCGGCACCAATATGTGGGGTACTAGGTCCTACGGGAAAGGAATAATGAAATAAGAGCGACACGAATTTACGGTAAAAATATATCTTTTAATTGTACTGGCTCCTACGCCGTGTTTGTACTCTGGCAGTTACGCTTTTTGAATGCCTGGACGCTTGCTTTTTTGCGTCTTGCTAAAACGTACAACAAGCTTACCAAACTAACTATATACTAGAAACTAAAACTAACCTAACTTAACCTAGTGACATTCAGAGGGCGCATAAGAGCGCGCCGATGGTCGCTACACCCTTGTGGCGTTCGAAGGTTCAGTAATAACGTGGACGCTGATTCTTGGTTTGGTAAAATATATGTATGTATTTCTCTGTCGACCGTTACATTCGAACTAGCTAACTATTCAGTCTTTTTTCTTTGAGCGTTTGTTACACTGTGTCTTATATCTAGAGAGTAAACCTAATGTCCCTAACTTAACCTAGTGTGTCCTTAACCTGTATGTACATAGTCTGTGGCTAAAAGGGGAATCGCCTACACCCTGTTGCGAACCTCGCCTGTATGTATGTGTGCAATATCGTGTGAATTTAGCTGCAAGCTTGTAACCACAAGCATTGAATGAAATGTAATATGACGACGATGCCATAAGAGTATGGTTGCAGCATGTCTGCATTATGTTATATCAATGCTCATAAATTAGGAGCCAAATTCAGAAGTAATAAACAAACAAAAGATAGGACATTGTAAATCGTTCAGCGCGGGTGGTCGTGCTGGGAGAGAGTTGGAAATCCGGAGAAATAAGACTGTCACACTTGAAGTTTCTAAGAAACTAATTTATTGCAGGCCGTATCTAATTCGTTACTCTTAACGAAAATCATGTTGATTCTTGAAACTGACGAAGTCTCTTCGACATCCTGCTTATTTACAGAGGGTCGTAAATTTTCTTAAGGTTTGCCTTGGCTCACTAGCGCGAGACCTTTTTATCTTTCATTCTCTCTGGATCCCACGCTTTCTCTTAGCACGTGTGCATGAAATAGTTCTCGAGTCTTGGCGGAGCACCACCATCTTCCACTCGCCTGAGGGTGGACCGAAGCCAGGGAGAGGGACCGCCTCCGGACAAAGATGGGCTCCCCCACCATTGGGCCAGGGATGATCCTGAGGGAGGATTCAGGATCCAGCGAGGAGGGGATGGCAGCCAACATCGATCGATGATCTTCACCGCCAAGCTCAGAACGATTCAAAGCTTCAACCCGACTAGATTTTGAAAAGCAAATAATAAAGTATTTATCAAAAAATATCTTTTAAACGCAAAGTGTTTTCATTTATTAAACGCCGCGCCACGAGTAAAGCGCTTCAGCGCTTCACGGGCACCTTACCCACGTTCGGCCTTTTATAAAGAAAATCCCTAGAACATTAAATCTACACGCAACATCCCTTGTAGGCGATTCCCCTTTTAGCCACAGACTATGTACATACAGATTAGGAACACACTAGGTTAAGTTAGGGACATTAGGTTTACTCTCTAGATATAAGACACAGTGTAACGAACGCCCAAAGAAAAAAGACTGAATAGTTAGTTAGTTCGAATGTAACGGTAGACAGAGAAATATACATATATATGTTACCAAACCAAGAATCATCATCCACGTTATTACTGAACCTTCGAATGCCAGTGTTAGTTACGTCTGTATAGGAAAAATTCTATATATTGTACGAAAGTTCTTAATTAATATCTCGGAAACTAATAGGAAGCCGAAGATACCAGCTTATATTTGGGGTCCCCTCCCACCTCCCCCCTTCCCCTTAAAATTTCATCTTGATCGGCGACCGGTCGTATTCGGAACTTCATCCGGCATTTTTAACAGAGAATGACATACTAAGCGCTTAGTGTATTCCCTTATTCTGCCATGTGGTGAACAGAGTCGAACGTCCCAAACGTTTGAAAGTCGCGTCCTTGCGAACCCCGCGCTGACACTGGCGCACTCAAAGGGGGCTAAGGGGCTCTAGCATCCCCCAAAGAAAAAGGAAGGAGAACAACAGAAAATTTTCTAAAATCTGTTCCTAATTAAATTAGTGTTACTGTTTATGCCACATATTAATAACACTGTTTTTTGTACTAAAAATATTTTTATTCGTTCAACTTAGCTCCCTTCAAGAACAAATTCTGAGTGCGTCATTGCACGCACATACCCCATCATGGCCCATCATTGACTGTCCTTTCTTTTTCAAAGTTTTATGGCAAGACTTTATAACAGAAAACAGACCCCGAATATTCTGAAATGTCGCAGACTGTGTCAAGCAGTGGGCAAATTTGTATATACTATTGTGGTAATTTTAGATATTTATTTTTTCGTGGAATACAAATTTAACACTGACAATACAATCTTGACAATCTCGACTCACAATCAAACATGGAATAAAGTTAAAAATAAAAAAGTTTTATCGTTGAATTACTATTAGTTACACCGATATTACGGTTCGGATCAAATTACACGGCTTCCTGGTTGAGCGTCTCGGTTCGCCTAGGGGGGTCCCCCCAAGTGGAAAGGATAGCGATGTTGCACTTATCCAGCCAATCTTTTGTTGCCATTATCCAGCTTTTACTTATTATTATATAAAAGATTTTATTGAAATACATTTCTCTTCTTTTCGACACATATTATTATGATTATTATGATTATTACTTTATTATTATTATTATTGATTATATCCTACAGAACCTATGTAATATTTTTTATTCATTTTTATTTCTAAATGATTTCTAAATGAAATTAGAAGAAAATAATTTTTTTTCTAATTTTTTTTTATTCATTATTTTTTCTAAATTAATATTCTTTTACCTTAAACACACATACCCTAAACTTAGAACTAGAGTTCGTCATTTATTAAAAAAATAATTTCCAATGAACTAAAGAGGGTTATTAAGTTACCTCCTTTAAAATATTTTACGTCTTAAAAAGTATTTCCGAAAAGTTTGTAAAACGAACTTAACTCGAATCACCGAAGAAATAATAATAGCATCGACCAGATAAAATATCATCTCATGTCTCATGATACAGTTTAGCACCGAGTCTCGTCGTTGGTAAACTCACTGATTCTGGTTCTGTTTCTTACTGCGGCCGCAATATATTCTAGAGGGCGTAAGAAAACGTCGAATTTTTTCGCCGCCGCGAACTCCCATAAGGATGGCAGTCTTTAAGGGCACAGACTCCTTGTGCCATGACCTGTATGCGTGCACTCACACAATCAACGGAAAGCATGCACGTATACGCCATGCGTGAGAGAGGCACTCGATTTCGTAGATTTCGTTTTTCGTCTCGATAATTGCACAAATTAAATTTTCGCGGGTACAGAACCCACGGGTAGACTTCACCACAGGGTGGTCTGGTCCGTTTTAACGCTAATAAACACCATACGTTGAGAAAAATGGTATTTTCGACACTGTAAGATTGAGACAGACGCTGTTGTAAGCAAACAACATGGCTGCCGAATGCTGCGTTCGGCTGCATTTTAGCAAATATTGGACGATTTAATGGTTTTTTCACCCATAGCATACCAGACCACCCTTCCTTGAACTAGCACAATGTCACTGAAATTCGATTTTTCACAATTTATCACTTCTGGAAGACGTAAAACGAAATTTACGATTTGCACGCATCAGACGTCAAATAGACGGAAGAATAGTTCACTGATTTTCCGCCAGAGGCATTGATGGTATATTTGACCACGTTATCATCGGGGTCGATAAAAACAGAAATCAGTCAATAAATGTAAATTCTAATTTGACACATTTGCTTGCAGGTTTTCGCAAGCAAAGAGTGTGACCTACTCCCCTTTTGGGAGTATAAGTTATCGGTGCAACGCAAGTACGCCAGTTCCGTGATAGCGTAAAGCAGAGACAAAGTTCTGCTCGTTCGCGACCCGCGTTTTGGCTAACTCGAAACCAGGAAGATCATCAACGACGTGCTCGGCCGACGGTTCAACACGAGTGTATCCCCAAGGTCTGAGGTTCCAGGCCCATAATAGGACAAGCTCCAGGAGTGCACTCGTGTGCTGTGCAGGACCACCACCAACCGCTTGCATCTTCCAAGGTCGAGTCGTAGCCACGCGCCGCGAGTTTAGTGTTCCGTCGAATCTGCGAACTAACAAGGAGAAGGCAAGCACTTCGGGTCTCAGATTTAGTTGAAACTTCGTAAACTTATAGATCTTGTTCCCCTGTTTACGAATATGTACCATTATAGGCATAGATACTCAATAGTTTTTTAGATATTTATATTTGAAGTTTCATTATACCGAGAAATATAGATTTAGTGAAATGTGTCGACAAGAAGTAAACTGGCGAAGTGGCAACGTACCTGATACAACATACTCAGAAAGCTCGGGTTCGAATCTCTTCGTGGTATGTAATTTTTTTTTTTCGATTTGTTTACTGCAATTAATTGGATTTCAAATATATATGCAATGATACTATTCATGACAAACAAGAAATAAAAATTGTGTGCAAAATTAATATAATAAATAATTAAATCAAAGCATACCTCGTTGACTGTGCCTGAAAACAAAACATATAATAACGAAAACATTTCCACATCTAATAAATGT